AAAAGATGGCAAGTCGACGTGCTATAACTTTAGATGGACTCTGGAAAGTGTTAAACGATGAGTGGGACGCGATTCCTGTGACCCTGGTGGGTAAAGTGTACGAAAGCTGGAAACGACGGTGTCGGGCTGTCGCCAAGAAACATGGCTATCATTTTGAAAGGACAAACCACTCCAAAAAAATTGACATCTAGGTATTACCCCAATCTTCTAAAAATCCATATTCCGCTGTAACGCAGCTTATGGGAACAGGTGGCAGTGAGTTATTTACCAGGGGGTTCGATTTCAGCACCCCTATGCCCGAGTGGATATCTCATCAGCTTTCAGTGAGCGAGGCATTCTTTGGTCACGAGTTCGAATCCTACCCATTCCAAGCCATAACTTTTGCACTATTTTTTAAATCTTTCTGGGTCATATTTGTGCATACTATATTATATGCACTCTCCAGGCTGATAATAGGACTAAAATGGGTACATTATTAGTGACAGGGATGAGAAAAAATTACTTTTTTTGCAATAATTAACTTAGGAACTAAGAATGTACCCATTTTGGTCCTATTATCAGCCTCGAGAGTGCAAATAATATAGTATGCACAAATATGACCCGGAAAGATTTTAAAAAAATAGTGCAAAAATTATGGCTTGGAATGGGTAGGATTCGAACTCGTGACCAAAGAATGCCTCACTCACTGAAAGCGGATGAGATATCCACTCGGGCCTAGGGGTGCTGAAATCCAACCCCCTAGTAAATAACTCACTACCACCTGTTCCCATCAGCTGCGTTACAGCGGAATATGGATTTTTACAAGATTGGGGTAATACGGCGAATTTTTAAAAGTGATCTTAAACAAGGGGTTAACCCCTCGTATCAGGAAATACTGGAAGAATCCAAGTATCAGATTCCTTTTTCCAAAATGCTTTACATTTCAGCAATATGGTGCAACGGTAATATATATATCGGTTCGTCCACGGCGTGGTTATTCAGTCGAAAATGGAAGGTTTCATCATGGCCAGCCAACTCACCCGACCTAAATCCAATCGAAAAGATATGGGACTAACGAAGAAAGACGTAGAAAAGAGAAGACCTAAAAATTTGAATGATTTGTGAAAAACTGTTGGTTAGATACGATCCTGGCCGATTATCATTCGGGTTCCAATTTATATAAGTACCCGAAACTTTATCTGAACCAAAATCCGAATAAAACTCAAACTCGAGCGAAACTCCAATTTGAACTGATGAGTTGAAGAAATAGAATAGCTTCATCACTAAAATTGAGAGACTCAACTATGTACTGTATTACTAAATTTTCTCTGAACACTTGAAATTCGATAAACTCAACTATCACGCAGCTGGGGATGGTAAATAATTTCATACTTTAATGTAATTGCTTTCTAGCCTGCTACCTCTAAGTAAATTAAATCTTTAGGCAATGAGTAACCAAATATATGTATGTGTTGCCGAAACACTTATTTGGTTCAGAACAGAATTATGAACAACAGAATTCCGAGGCGTCCCTTAACGGTCAGATATTGACCTGGTAGTAAATTTAGAAACAGATTAAAACCAGATTATCTAGGGGACTAAGAAATTTCTGGCAAAATACTCGTAAAGCAAATTTTTACATTACTTCTTGCTCATTTTATTCCCACTCATGCCAACACAATTGAAAATCTAACCCCTGGCGACTTTAGATATTTTGGGAACTGCGTTTTAAAATTTGTCCGTCTAAGCAGAAGTTTAGAATATATTGACATAACAGAGGAACTAATCTTGGTGAACCATAGAGTTCAAAACGGGCTGATCTACACTGTTTGCGACAGATTAAAACTGCAGAGTCAGGAACAAAACGATGAAAGAAATATGCTCGATTTTAAATTTTTAGAATCTTGCACATTAACAATATTTGTAAAATTTGACGCTGAAGATAATAAATTTAGGGTAGATTATATCTTTGCGACAGGCGACTTACATAAGAGTAGGGCCCATTCAAGTCTCATCATTCTGCTAAAGCCGTCGCAAAATGAATTCAAAGTCTGGCACGTTGATTTCGTTAGTCCATACCGAATGTTTTTTATGCTAATTAGTAGCGCTGGTAAAGTGGCGGAGAATCACTTTGGCCTATCAAAATATACTTTCATCTGGTATTTCTTCTGTCCCATTTGTACCTCTACGTTTGTCAAAATTGAATACGGAACTGGCATCGGGGTCATCAACGTTGACAACTTTAAGCACCTATGGAACCAGGACTTTGCCCTCTCGACTACTCAGGCAACCCATCGCAAGGCTTGTGGGAGTGGAATGTATCACATAGCGCAGGCAAAGTTACAAAGAGACAGGTTCACATGACGAGTAACCTCATCAACGTTACATTCAAATCAGTGGATTCCCCGGACGAAGAAAGATATGGGTTCTACGACTTTCACACGTATAAAGGGGCCTCATCTTTTTCAAACATGAACTTAATCTTATCCCTAACAATTGCGGGGGTACACGCGGTTTACTGCAATTTCAACGTGTGGACAAATCATTCGGAATGCGATGAAACCGGACCTAATCGTCTGGCTCTCTCCGCTCGAGGCATCGGTATGGTTCGGTTGCATTATCGTGGTGTTTGTGTTACTAGTGGGGAAAACGATACGCTCGGAGAAGCCGGGAAAGAGGCTGATATGCAGGTATTTAAAGCATGGGTATGAACTCGTTGCCACCATAATTTGGCCGCTAGTCGGAATTGTGCTAAGGCAAGAAGTCAGGAATCGGATGAGACTATATTTTTCTACGCCTACCTTTATTGCCCTCCTTTTGACAGGTTTTGTATTAACGTGTTATTACGAGTTATATTTCACAACGAATTTGATAGCCCCACCGATGCATAAACGGCATAGTTCGTTGAAGAGCTTGTTCGATAATGATTATAATCTGGTCTATACGTCGAAGAATATTGTTTGTAGAGGAATTCAAGTTTAAAGGTCTTGGTGACTTTCCTCGGGAGAAGAGAAAGATTGCGAATTCTACGGATTGGGGTGTTTATTTTTCGGAAGCAGAGCCCAAGAACTTTGTGATGTATGATAGAAAATTTTACACGTACATGTTGCTGCTTAAAATACAACATGAAGTTTTGAAGGGTAAATACTTGTGTTATGCGGTTGAGGATATTGCTTTGATGAGGCCCAGATTGAACGTTGTAAGTGCGATTGCAAGGGTGCGGATTATATATGTTGAAGGGGCCCTGGCGCGAGGAGGATTCCCAAATTTGTGGGAGAGAGAATATATTAAATATCTTGAAGTCCGGGCTTGGAAATTGTCCAGGATTAAACTTCCGTCGCTATATATCTCGCTGATCATGCTGTTGGGTTTTTTCTACTGCTTTTTGGGGGTTGCTGTTTTCACGATTGTTGTGCTTCTGGCAGAACGGTTATCCGATCCGATCATACGGTTAGGTTGGAGGATAAGTTTTAAAATAATTTTAACACATAGCAGGCTGAAATTTGAGATAAGAATAAAATTGATGAAGGCTAAATGTAAAGTAGCATTTGTGAAGGGCGTGAACCTCACAAGGTTTATGTGTTGCTTTACCTGCAGGACTTGTACAAATTAAGTGCAATACCTACGCAACATAACTTTTCAAAATATATGCGAATATCACACTTATAAGTCTTGCAACGCAATTTATCCATGAGAAAGTTTATGAAGTTTAGGAAATCTCGTAACCTTCGTACATTAGACATATTGCGAAGACACGACTACGAATTTAAAAAAAGTATCGTGAATTACTTCATTATACGGAGGCGTGGGCTAATTTATTAAATGTCTGAATAATTTAATTTTTGTGAGCGTAGTACTCGCCGGTGAATAATTTTGGTGTTTTGCACGTGTTCCTCATCCTTTGCTGATATCGTCGTGCTAATTCTGAAACAACCCAAATGCTGTCGTTTTTTAATTCTGGAACAACCCAAGTACACTAATAAAACGTGTGAAACAACCTAAATGCAATTGCTATATTGGAATTGGTGTATTATTACCGTGTAACTTGATGGGATAGTCCATATATATTAATATTTTAGTTTTCTTGCTGTATTTAGTAACTATAGCCAGAAAACTAAAATTTAAAAAATGTTATAATATTCAATCCAAAATAATATTTTGGGTTAAATATGATAACATTTCTTAAATCTAATTCCTTCGATTGTCACCATACAAGCATGTTTGGTGACAATTTTAACGGCCAAATCTAATTTTAAGGATTCTGAATACAGAATAGATTCTGTAGATAGATACATAGAGTAGGTTATTATGTATAACGCGTAGAACTTATCGCGAATTACACACACTATAAAATGTATTTCAAGTTAACGCTCACAAACAACGCAAAATTTTATGTAATACTTATACATAGGTATGTATAAACCTGTATCAACTAGGTACCTGGTTCGAAATCCCTGGGAATTTGGGAGAATTTTCCAGGAATTTGGTTTTAATTATTGGAATATTCAATTCTGCCGATTTGTGCAAATGTGGAAGTGAATTTGGAATCTAAGTTTTTGGAAGATTTTAGGACGGAAAAATGGTGAACAAATAATGTCTACAATTTTTTATGTATGTCAATACAAATTCTATAAAAATTAGGGCAAATACTTGATGTGGCCGACCTAAAATTATTATTTCATATATATGTTGATATATTTCATCTGTGTCTGAATTATTTTATTTCAATTATAGAAGTAGGAAGAAAACCTTGCATCCTAGATTTTATAACCAATTGGTAAAATAGGTAAAATAGGTGTAAAAGTGACATGGTAACTGAAGGATAAATCAAGTGGCAGATTTTGTCAATACAGACGCTTTGTTTAAGGAGTGGAAAGTAAAAAAAAACTGTATACTTCTTCCAGCTCATCGTTGTATTATAAAACTGCCCGAAAAAAACATAATATACTATTAATTCTTTACACATTGGAGAAGCGGCTGACAAAACTGTTATGCAAATCAGGAATTTTGTCGAATTAAAATTAAAGAATGACCAAATAACAAAATTTTGCTTTTATTTTCAATTAAATCACTAATTTTCTCAGATATTGAATGCGGGTTTGTCACTTAGGCTTTTGGTACGTCCTGTATGAAATACGCCGTAGGTAGGAGTGTTGGATCCAACAAAACGGTGAGAAGTTGGTTTCCGTAGAGACAATTGATGAGAGAACCTCCGACGTTATTAGTTATCAGACCCAGCGCACCGTTAACTTGCCACATGTTATAGCACCCCGGGATGGACAGGGAGCCATTCATAACGGCCCAGGAATTTTCTCCAAATGCGCCAAGAGCTTGCATAGATTGGTTTACAGGGGGATGAATCGGGCCTGGAAGTTCGGACAGGTTAACCCATTCACCAACGTCGTAGTCGAGTTCATTATTTTGGAAAGTGATGTTGGCCTTGGCATCGAGGGGACCGGTGTCGATGGATTGATCCACGATGGAGATGGGTGGAAGGGTAACGGGTGCGGTTGGAAGGAGGCCTAAATAAAAGAGAGTAGATGATTGTTGAGAAAAATAAGTTTTTGGAAATTATAATTCTAGGGTTTTTAAACTTGTAAAAATAATGAGGGCAAACTAAACATGTTTCTAAATACACAAATAAGGTTTTAAACTGTTGGGTAATTTCAGTCTTAACCTTCAGATTTTTTTCGGAGGCATGATATTGAATTGTGTAATAATGGAAATTTACCGGCAGACGTAAGAGTAACCAGCAAGAGGACCAGCAATGTCTTAGCCATGATGATGGTTTCAACTTTCAGAATAAACCTAATGTTCTGGCTTTTATATTGTGCTGACAGGTTTGATTTTCTATCAACTTTTAATATGATTCAGATAAAAGTATGAGAGGCTGGATTTTAATGAAAATAGGGACAAAAGCGGCACATGTTTACAATGAGGGACGACCTATCATTCAAATGATTGTCCTGAACAAATTTTATAGCTCAAGAGATATACGTACATACAATCGTAATATCGACTTAACCTTGAATTTTGAATCATATGGATATTGAATTGACATTCGGATAACCAGTTTGGAAAAAATCCTTGAATTAATGCGACACCGGATTCTACTTTGCAATGAAGTTATTGCAGTCTCCAGTAGCTGATTAAAATGTATAATGTATTCAATCCAGTTTCACATAATAGAATCGTATCGTCGTCAGTGTTCAAATATGTACCAAGTGTGCTACAAAGTTTCCGCAATTAGCTTTCGAGGTAAGCAACTTTTGAACCGTTGATAAAATTACCCCTATTTTTTCACCATTTATAGATGACATATATATCTATATGATATAGATATAGACTATATCTATCCGTCTTCTGTATGTCAAGTTATTCTGCAGCAATTTTAGGCATAATTTTATGAGTTTGGCTGTTTCCTAAACCTTGATCTGAATAAGGACTATAAAACCACGTCCAAATTCCGAGAGAAGATACAGACCAGGAAAGGCAGATTGGTGCCAAATCTGGAGAGATTTGTTGTTCCCACTTGACCTCGACTTCTCTCTCCCTCTGGCCATGAGGTTGGGTTTCTTACTTGATAATTGCTAAGTAATCTAGGCGGAATTAATGCGGAATTAAAACAAAATGTCTTACGTAAAGATACTTAATTCATCATGATGAATTAATTAATTATTGCTCTCGTTTCTTCTTGTGCCAATATCTTGTTTCATATTAAAATTTTTAGCTAGGGATCAGGATGAATTAATAAAATCAAATGTTGCATTCATTCATTTACGCGTATGAATTAATTCAAGACGTATTTGTTTCACCATTCATGTATCTATGTATATGCAACTGTCCAATACTTGTGTTGATACCTACCAGTGTACTCCCAAGCAAAAAAGCAGAGCATTTTGCTTTTTGCTGTTTTGCTGGACACAGCAGGTTTCGTAATTATAACCCCTCTTTCCCCGAACGAATATGTGTATCTTAAACATAGATTTGATCCATAGTCTGTATTCATAGTAAATAAAATAAATCAGTACCACCTCAACTTTATGATTACACTTTTTATCACGAAGAAACTGATCCTTTTTTTGAAATTTGCACACATCAACAAACCAGAACACCAATTAAAAAACATTTCTTGAAGACGGCTCATGCAAAGATTTACACATAAACAATACAGATTTGTAAAGTCATTTCATAAAACATACGTATGTAGCATTACACAAAAAGAGGATTTTTTGTAGACTACACACAACCCATCACAATACATCTACCATCATAATGGAAAGAATAACGCTATTATTCGCTTTGAATTTGGCTTCGGAAATTTGATAAAGCTCTAACTTTATCACCATCTGTCTCGCTCTCGCTCTCTCTCCATCTGGATCACAGCATCAAGCACAAGAATAGGAACAAACTACACACACACATTCATACATACTCTCAATTAACATCATCATCCATTTATTATTATCCTAATTGCATTGGCCAACTAAATTAATTTAAATAATAATATCAAATTTGCTCGTCGTATTCCTTCTCCTATCCTTCAGACAAAGAAATTGACCCCATTTTCATCCTTAGCGACCAAATTACACTAGGAAAACTTACCCAGCTCACCAACCTTGACCCCAAAGACACAATTTGACCCAGACTGACTAGGTCACATAGTGCCTCGGGTATTCCAACCACACATAATATAAAGATAAGTTCTTAAGTGTTTTTAGCCCACATTATTGTATGGAACGGAAAAATATGTATGTAAAAAGTAGGTATGTATCACTTTTAAATTCCATGCAAAAATGAAAGTTAAAAACACTTTTTCTAAAAAATTTGAAATTTTATATAACACAAGTCGTGTGCTTGCTCCGCTGAGCAAAAGAATTTGATATTGCAGAAAACTATTTATTTTTTTACAATATCAAATCAAAATTATTATGATACGAAGATATATATACGAAGATATTATACGAGATACGAAGGTCAATTTTTTTTTCACCAACGAAACTCGGATTGAATTACACGGTCAGGTCCACTCTCCAAATGCAAGATACATGACAGAAGAATGGAAAGGTGTTTCTGCATTTTTTAGAGCAAAACATGACTTGAAAATCATGGTGGCAGGTTGGTTTTTTGCCGGTGGCGTCTCGCAATTACACTGCATTCCCTTAGGTCAACCTGTTCCTGCAAACTATTATCACTAAATATGTACCGACATTCTTGGAGGTCATGAACACCTCAATCTTTTCCAGTCGGACAAATATCGTTTTTCAACAAAATGGTGCTACAGCCCACACGGCAAAGTCGGCAACCAAGATGTTGGAAGAGAAAGTTACAACAATGTGGGGAAAAGAGGTGTGGCCTGGAAATTCTTCGGACTGGACTTTAATCGAGAATATATGGTCCATACTAAAAGAATCAGCCAATTGTGACCCTTTACCAACAACAATCCCTGAATTACAGGCCCGATTCGAAGAAAAATGGAATTCACTTCCGGTTTTCCGTTTACAAAACCGGGCTCAGGGCTTCAAGACAAGGGTGGGTCAGATGAGGAACAACCGCAGTGGACACACTACTTACTAAGGTACTTGTGAAAAAAAAAATTGAATTTAATATCACTAAGCAATCCACTTTTAGAAGGTCGTAAAATTGATGCCATTATTTTCCGCGTATTAAATGGACACAGTGTATACGCACTTAACCTTACCTTGGATCTGATCATTCTCCACACTTTAGAATATGGTAAGGTTTAAAAGAGCAGGTAGAATGTTGGATCAGTGTAATATTCTACCGTGCAGCTCATCCATGTCCAACCATCCCATCATCAACCATGGTCACATCTTAAGACGTAGCGAATCCAATAATCCACATTCAATTGGTTTCCCATGACATTTCTTTCTGATCTCGGTACTTTAACATGCTGAAGACTAGATTCATGTTGAGTTGGTTTAGGTATAAAACGGCGACACACAATGACAAGAAGATGAGCCACACTTTACTTCACATAAGCTTACCTGTGATTAAGGGCAGTTCGTAAATTATGTAAGGCAAAAATAGCCAAAATTTTGACCCCGTTACCCCTGGCAATGCAAAAACATGACCATCTATAAAATTGGCTTATGGGGTGGGGGGGTTACGTAATGCAAAATGTCACGTTACGTCATTTATGCACAGCTACTAAATGTTTTGTCAATGTTTTTGATTATTTTTCGGCCCATTATTACCATGTTTTTCCCCAAGATTGAGTAACGTGTTACATTTTGTACCATTTCCTCGGCCCGGTAGCCCCAAACAGATAGTGAACACTTAACAAAAAATAGCATCACTAATCTTTTCCTCATCACTTTTCCTCTATAATAAAACGAAATTCCAACTTGGTTACTGTGTCAGTCTGTGCGTAGCCAACATTGAGGAAGGACAGGAACGGTGGTTAGCTTGTGGGGACGAGAATTTCTGATCTTGTAGTCACAATTGGAATGGAAAATCACACCGCCCTTAATTCCAGCTTTATTATAAATTCACGTGGTGGATATGGGGGTGGCTGGGTAAGTTGAAAAAGGTTTAATAGGTATGGACAAAAGTGTCAGCATTGTAAGTCTAATAAACAAAAATTTCAGGGTGGTTGGGGTCATCCTGTGCATTATTACCATAGCCACGACGAAGGGGGAATGGGAGGTTACGGCTTCTTTGGTCTGCTAGGCCTAGGTGCGCTCGCCTTGTTGGCTATTCTCTTCATACCACGACCGGTAAGGTGGACGAATTCTGTAAAGAAAGCGGTCAAAGTAAGGCAGACGGAGTCAATTGTCGCCAGTCATTGTGGTCCCCAGCCCAAAGTCCATTTGCTAACGTTATTCCTTTTTGAAGTAAAGGAAGTATTTAAAGGATACTAAGTGAACAAACTTTGTTCACTTAATGTCCTTGTGACCTTGCTTACAGGTCACAGAGGTCAAACTAAAAAAAATTTAAATACATTTAAATACATACTTGAAATCGTATAAAGTTTCCAAACATGTTTCATTTCAAAAATCGGTCAAGAATTGAAAATGAAATCCCATTTAAAATTCAATGTCTGTAAGCATTGAGCAGTCGGCCACGTAGCCTTTTTGAAAAAAATAAAGAAAATCCTACGATAGACTTATAGGAATTGCACGTACACTTTTTGTTGTGTGCACTTACGTGTTTTTAAAATTAAGAACCGACTGCACTTAAGTCTTTTCATAATTATAGTTCTACGACGATATGGTGAAAATTTTAAGTCGATTGGATTAGGCGTTTTTGATTTATCGTGTTCACAGACAGACGGACGGACGGACATGACATTACATATGTAATGTTACTTATCTATATACTTAAATATAAACTTATATGGAACAGAACCTTACTTATAAACTTATCTATATAGAAGTCCGGACTTGAGCTAAAAAATCCACTTGTTAACATAACTCAGTATGGGCAAAATTCCAAAATTTGGGAAGAAAATACAAAAAAATATTAATGAAACGTAACAATTTAGTTTTCCTCCCAAATTTTGGATTTTTGCCCATACTGAGCTATATTAGCAAGTGAATTTTTTTCATATCAATAAACTAACCTTTAAAAACGATTGCTTATGTAGGTGAGTCAGTGGTGTGCGATTACGTAAAAGAATAAAATAAAACCCCACAACTGAAAAAGCGTCCCTACTCAACAACACATGCTCAGTGAGCACCTTCGTGTCGCCAATTATTTAATTTCTCAACCATTTTCGTTTTACAAAGTTGCAGAATATTAAGACATTTTGTTTTTTGAATATGTATGCACAGGGCGGTGATGTTGAGTAGGGACGCTTTCTATGTAAGTAGGGATGATGGGATTTTAGTTTATTCTTTTAATCGCACACCACTGACTCACCTAAGCAATCCTTTTTAAAGGTTAGTTTATTTTAATCTTTTAATTGGGTTAATTCCTTTAATCCGGCCATACTGAAATATATAATTCGCCGTCATTATGTCATTAATTTTCCAAACCCTGGTGAATACTTACTTTGGAGTTTAGTTTGGTAACTCTTTCCTCACCTAAGAAAAAGAGGAATTTTCTATGTTAAGAAGTGGATTTGTGGACAGTGGGAGGCAACAATTGGCAGAGTCTGCTTTACTCTAGCCAAGAAAGCATTAATGGGTGGTCTCATTATTCAATATATTTATTTTTGATACAGGTTCCAGGAAGGCGAATGAATATTAGATATGACCAAATTCCCGCCTTGGACGAACTACCTGGGAAGTTAAACCATATTTTTGGCAAAAATATTCAGTGATTACCTATTTATATTTAGTCGGGGTTGAACTCATTTAAATTTTTCCAGCTGTCAATATAAAAATTAAAAGTTATATCAGGACTTTAAAATTATACCGATTTTTTCATAGTTGAATAAATGACTACTGTAAGAAAAGTACAGTCTTATTTATGTCGGGTCTTAAATCATCTGTACTTGTAACTTTTTACGGCTACCAAACAAAAAATAAAACCACCAACGAAAAATATTTCTTATGGAAGCTGAAAAGTGAGCTTTTGGGGAATTCTGACCTTTTCGAACTTTTTCAACAACAGGACCGGCGACTGACCACAATCTTTTCAAACTAATAGCATGCAAAAGTTCAAATTGTTATATCGAGCGAGATATGGGAGATAGGGCAGCATTTAGTTTACTCAATTCTGTCACCTAGTGTATGTCGATAGACATATGCAAGCAGTATTTGATTTATTTACATAAATAAAATAACGACGGGTCTTGATTCAGTGTGCCAATTTACTTTAAACCGACTTGCGAATGTTTCCTCCCTATGTCAAATAAAAATAAATAAACTTCTCAGATTCATGATTTCAAAATGTGAAACCAATGGTGGTTTCCAGTCACAAAGAATAACAAAGATTGTCCTTTAGCATTCATTCCATGCCAAGATGTGTAAAGATTTATTAAAAATCAAATAAGTTAATTTTATATTTTCAATCTTTACTGGTGAATACAATTTGAGACATTTCAAACCTTAAGGATTCTCATCTTTATTTCCAGC